ATAGAATATATAATATGTATAATTTGCAACAAATATTTCTTGAGATTATTGCGCTTAAATGGAAAGACATTTTAGCTACATTTTTTTACAAATTGTAATAAATTAGTTTACTTTACCTTAGCATTATCACAATATATTCAGTAATAGCGAGTGATCAATTGTTTACGACTCTTTGATCATCGCCGTCACTCACGCGTTCAATTATTACTTAGTTGGTACCGCATTGCCTCGCTAAACACTGTAGTAAAATTACATAACGTTACTATAAAGGTTATAGTACCTTACACGTTGAGACAACGTGTGTGGGTTAGTTTGATTAGCACGGTGGTGAATTGTTCTTGTATGGGGCTTTGCGATGGAGCTATCCTATATAACTTTTTTATTATCCTTTACAGAATCTCTACAAGGAAGCTGGAAATAAAACCCTTTGTTTATTCTGCAATAGACATTTACGTGATTTTCTTATTTTAAAAATATTGAATTGTAGATATGGCCGTTAGAAATTATTTTTGCCGCCAAATGTTAAAGAAGGCTTCAAGTAAAATATAAAATGTATGAATTTAGTAATTAACTATCTATATGACTTTCGCATTTATTATAATTACTAAAGTTGTAAATGCAAAACTATTTGTTGCTTCGTCATTCTCTCACGCCGCAGTTCAGCGCAGAAAGAGTTTACGTGCTATTTACATGGAGGATACTTTATTTCTGATTACTACAACAACACTAAAAAATGTAAATCATTCTTTCTCTTACTTATTCTTCTTTTTCTAGATAAATAAAGATGTCTAGAGATAAAGAAAGTTAAAGATTGGTTAGAGTCTGAGTGAAGCCTCTGGTCTCTACATATCTGGATATACTTTCGTTTGAATGAGTGTAAATAGTTATTGCAATTTCAGTTAATTTAACTACATAAAACTGAGACACGAACACGACTCTAATAAAAATATCTTTAAAACGGTTTAAACAAGACTTCTATTATCTTTATTAGTAAGACATATAAAATGTCGTAACCATTATATTTTATTGATTAGCACAATAGTACGGTATTTCCTTAGTGTACTGTAACGATTTAGTGAACAATTAAATATAATACTATGAACTTTTAGAAAGGGAGGTAGCGTAGCATTTTATTTAGTCTTTTAAACTGCCTCGGTGGTGTAGTGTTTCACCCCCGTGCCTCGGAGAGCGCGTAAAGCCGACGTTCCTGCGTTTTAACTCTTATCGGTTTAAGTGTATGTTCTTATGTGTCCAGTGGTCGTCCCACCAGAGTATGAGAGTGACAGGAATAGAGACTGCACGTTGTGTCTACGCGTACACTTGTGCACTATAATATCTCCTGCGCAGTTGGCTAGTCTCAATGAGATTGGCCGCCGGAATCGGCTAGGAGAACATCATCATCATCATCATTTAGTCTTTTTACACTGATTGAAATTCAAAATAATAATAGTTTTGGTCTACTATATTGGAGCTTTAATTATTACCTAAAGCAGCGGTAAAGCTAAAACTGAGAGCAAATTTTGCTTTAAGTAAAAATAATTAAATAATTGTCAGATGAGATAAATATTATAATAGTAATAAAAATAAAAAAATATGGGTAATACTTTAAGTGACTCGACTCCAAATAACGGGATCAGAAACGGAAGAAGAAGAAGATAGGTAATACTTTAGTGTTGTGTCCCTAATAAAACTTCGAGATATTTCTTGCTTATATTCTTATATTCAGTACTTTTATAATCGTCAGTGAGTTACATAAGTTATAATAATAATTTTCAGTATTACAAACAATTCGCAGCGACGTACAGGGTGGTATCGACATCTCTGTGCAAAAGCGCGGGAAAACAAATGAATATCCGCGCCCTTTTTTATTTTTTTTTAAAACGTAATCCTATCGGCCAAGGTCACATAAATAAATGCTTTATACATAAATCATTATAAATTAATCAAATATATTATATTCTATTAAAACACTCAATATATAAAAATGCAACCTTACATTAGATAATAAAAAACAACAATAACTTTAGATTTTAAAATAAAATTTATAGATGTTTTTGTACATACTTAGTGATACATAGATATAAATTTATATACTTGTTATATGCATAGTTTTTTATCCACATCTTTCTGGTGTATATACGAGTACGAGTAGTTTAGAGTTTACTAGAGAACATAACTAAGTAACATTAGAAAGTGCGCGCCGGTGTCCGTGCTCGCTGACTTGCGGTTTGCAGGTAATTTAGCCGACTCGACGTGCAGCTTCGGTAAATATTGGGAAGTCAAGTGGAAAATTAAAATGGGATGTTGGCGTTAATGCGTAGCGCGGGAGCAGAGATCATATTATTCTCATTGATTTCTAATTCTAAACCCACTGGATTAGAATTACGAGTCTTCTTCTCCCTGCCCATTTCCCAAATCACTTGGGGTTGGCGCAGTACATCTTCAGTGTACTGCTGATAGGATTTGGCAAAAGTTTTACGACCGGCCGCCTGCCTGACGTCAACCCTCCTTGGGATTAGAATTACGAGTATGTATAGTAATTCACTTTTATAAATAATCGATTTTGAAGACGAAAAAATATGATAATATATTGTAGCGACGAAGGAAGTAATAAGCAATTCAAATTAATTTACCGTGTTGTATCATTCTGGGGATTTTTCATTATCAGTTAATAGAACAATAATATCGGAAATATCGTACTTAAATATGAAATATAATATAAATAATTAACATAAATAATATAAATAATTAACATAAATAATTTCTTAAGTGCCTCTAATTGAACAAAGACATAGGTTTCTGTTAATTGCGTGACATCCAGTAGTTCCAGTAATATCATGAGTTATGTAGAGCCAAGTAGAGAAATGCAAGCTTTCTCTAAAGAATGCAATAGAAACTTAAAGATGAGTGATACGAAGAATTTTCTACAACACGATGCTTTAGTTAAGAGTCTGAATAATTTTGATAATTTTTTACTCAGAACTCTACTTAAGTCGGCGCCGGACCATTTTATCTCAACATCTCAGTAATGATGACGCGGGAGGCTGGAACCAGTATTTACCCTAAAACGCGTGGAGTATAGTCGTGACTTTACCTGACAGATAATTATGTGTGTATGTAGGTACGTCCGATTGAGATGTGAGTTAAGGCTAATAACTACCACTAACATACATATTTATGTGTAGTGTGCCTAATGTCTGATTTCATCATTTGTATTTATTGTTATAACATCGAATCCAAGTTGTATTTTTAAAGTGCATCATATACGGTCAGTTTTATGTACCAATATTTACTCGTATTCTGTCGTAATAATAATAATATTTTTTTATTTATGTATGTAGGCAATAATTTTTATTATGCTATAATTTTATGTGATCTGTGAAACGTTTTCTAATTAAATAAATGGAATGTAATTTTTTATTTACGTTTTAAATATTCCCCTTTATTTAAGCCATATAAATGTGAATATATAATTCTTATCTTATAATTTCTAAAGTTTCACTATAAAAATTAAACTGTAATAAGTCGTTACTTTTACATTTATAGCAGTTTTAACAACTTTATCTATCACAAGCACAAATATGTTATCATTATATCTTTTTTGTTGTACATTTGCAAGCACTTTTAAATAATTTATTAACGAAGTGTTTTTGTTACAGGTACATTCGAAACAGTGAAAACGATTATCTATCCTATTGAAAACAGGATAGAGTCTACAATTGCGTGCAGTGAAACAAACGTGTTCAATAGTTATTTTCGTAATCAAATGTCAAATACTCAAACACACTTCAAAACTATTACACTGACAAAGTAAAAATTCCTTTTCATCGCATATTTGGAGATTCGTTAGGTATATTTGCCGTGGTCGGGTAACGTTGTGATCAACACCTCTATTGTTGAGGGACGGGTCAGAGGAGGTTACATTAGACCGTTCGTTTTAGGGTTCAACGTTTAGATATTACGATTAATGTTTGAGTCTTAGAAAAAAAGAAAAAAAAAATATTCCTAGAAAAAAAAACTTATATAAATGATATATTTTTTATAAGAAAAAAAAATGATTTTTACTATTATTATAGAAGTTATTGTCGTAGGTTGAATAAAGTAATGAACGTATTAAATACATTTAGTTTAATATTACAATTAGTATATACAATACAATTAGTATAATATTTATAAGAACAGTTTCTATAGGATTATCCATGCTCTACATACAAAAAATGATGGAACTTCCATTGAGAATCCGTTAAAAGTCAAAGTTCTAGCGAAAAAATGATTTTTCCATGGTATTTTAAACCACGTTACACCGTACAGTATCAATTGCCTCATAGTTTTAACTTTTGGCCGCGTGGAAATCAAGTGTCAGGTTCACGCTTCATCTCGCTCTGAGTTCTTAACGTCAATTACATACGATGAAATCACAGTTTGATTTATGAGACGCGTAATTTGAATCAAAATTATAGAACCAAAATATTTATAATGAGCTGTGTCTTCTACGAATGTCTAAAAACATGACCTAGTCGTAGTTGGATGTAATTGAATAGAGATAGGAATAGTGTATGTTACATACAAACTTAATTTATCTTGATTTCTGTTTAGTATATAGCATCTAACTCCGATCAACATAAGGACAACATTTGTCGGATTTCAATATAATTTTGAGATTATTAAATAAATACTCACCACACCCATTCCCCGAATAGTTTTGAAGTGTGTCATAACTCATAAGTGCATAGAAATAAAAACAAAAACAAAATGAAATAAGTTTAAAATCCCACCGAGAATGTACCAGTGAGCAGTCATCAAACCAGTCCATCAAGTGCCATTTATTGACAATATGTGCATGAAAAAATGTGAGTGTATCGTTTCGAAAGCGATATAGTAGAGAGTAGAGACTTATGTTGAAGGGACAATTTTCTTGTTGTTTCGTGACGTCATACACTTTGACGTCTTAGTTGAAGATAGTTTTAGTGAAGTGAAGTGTTGGTTATGTTGAGTCCAGTATGAAGCGAAGTAAATCCTACACGTGGCTATCAGGGCTGCTGAAGCCCAAGCCAGAGGAGGACGAGTGGGGAGCGGCGCCGTGGGTGCGAGCTGAAGTTCTGCAACATGACAGGTACGATTAGAACAAGTAATTAAGACGTTTTTAACTATTTTTTAAAAACCTATAAACATTCGGCGATTACAGAACTACATCTATATAAAATATTAAGTTTTGCTTGAACAAAGTTTCTAACTCAGTGTTCAAAGACGTATGTGAAATGTTTAACGATGATCGATAGTGTCTAAGAGTACTCTGCTATTTGGCGGAACCACATCTATCTGTACGCGTCTGCCCTTAAACTATTCATGAGAAGTATTTAAACTGCTGTAATTACTTTCATTATTGATTAGGATGTACTTGTTATTCTCATATTAAATATATTATAATAATATTAAACAATAATATTATTAATGACTAATGTTTCACAATATGTAAATGTCTTTGATTTGGATAGAGAATATAATTAGAGAATATGAATATACGTAGAAATTAATTAATGTTTTTACATATAAATTATCTTAATAAGTAGACCAGTAGTTAGTTGTTAATGAGTAGGCTAATAACGAGCGACTTAACTTCCCTTCGCTCAGACAACAAACATTAATTGATATTTATTATTTAAGTACTTATTTCTTAAAATCAACATTTTTAATAACAGTTATATTGAAATGACAAATATCACTAATAATACGAGTACCTATATATTTTCCATTTATTTTACACTAGCGGCTCACCCTCGCTTCACTCGGGTTCACCTCTAGAAGAGCACAAACAGATCTATCCCACGGGAACCGTTCATTTTTCCGGGATAAAAATAAGTAACCTGTTGTTTGACCTGCAATATAAGGTATCAGCATGCCAAATTTTACTAAATTAGGTGCATAAGTTGTTGTGTACTGACCTGTATAAGTTACTATAATTTTTTAACTATCCCACGGGAACTCTTTAATTTTCCGGAATGAAAAGTATCAAATTTCATTTAAATAGGTTCAAAAGTATCGGAGATTAGCCCGTACGAACAGACAAACAGACAGAGAAACAAAAAATTTGAAAAAAATCTGGATTTGTTCTACTCGTTTTTTAGCAATTTTTTCTACCATCTATGTACAGACATTCGACCTCTACAGTTTTATTCATATATGTACATATATTCAGATGGAATAAATAACGTATAATAAAACAGAAATATCTAATAATGAAAATAGTTATAGCGAGTGTACCTTAGGAGATAGACATATACTATGTAGAACTTTTCTATAGACCTTTTTAAGACTTACAATTTTCTTGTACAATGTTTTGATCTATCTCTTAAGGTTGAGCCAACGTTAGCCATATAAATTTCTAAGGACAATTCGATAGAACCAGTTATTGTATTTTCCCGTGGGAATAAATAATTGGCCTGTCGTAAAAAGTATTCTAAATGTCGACCCGAGCACTAAGTTTTATCACTATACAAAATTAAATTAAAATCGGTTGAGTACTTTTTGCGTGAAACGCGCACATCGATTTGACTAAGTTTTATTATAGGTATAGATAAGAATAAATATTGCGAGTGTAACTTAGGAGATAGACATATACTATTCAGAACTTTTCTGCAGGACTTTTCTAGACCTACAATTTTTTAGTATATTGTTTTGATGTATGTCTTAAGGCTTAGCCAGAGGAAGGTTTCTAGGCAGGACTCGATAAAACCAGTTATTGTATTTTCCCGTGGGAAAGAAAGATTTTCTTTAAGTAAAAGGTATGTATGGGAAACCGAGTGAAGCAAGTTCAAATCTCGGGTCTCGCACCTCTGATATTGGCCAGCGTGGTGGACTATGGCCTGATCCAACACGTATTGAAGGAAGGCCCGTGCGTGTGTTAAAAAGGGCTGAATACAACATACATACATACATACAAAAGGTACCCTAAATGTTGACTCGAGTAATAAGTTATCACTTCACCAAATTTCGTTGAAATTGGTACATTACTTTTCGCGTGAAACGCACACACAAAAACAGACAAACAGGCATACAGACAAACAGGCAATTTTTTTAATAACTATTGTTTTGGGGTCTATGTTGTGTACATAATACGTTACAAATAAACAAAAACATCTATCCCACGGGAAAAGTACATTTTTTACAAAATACAATCAGTGGTTTTTGTGTACTAAGCTGTATAAGTTACTATAGTTTTTTGACTATCCCACGGAAACTCTTTAATTTTCCGGGATGAAAAGTAGCTGATTTGTTTTTGTCATGTATGAAATATATTATTGTAAAGTTTCATTAAAATTCAATCAGTAGTTTTTATGTACCAAGATGTATAAGTTGTTATAGTTTTTTTTAACTACCCCACGGGAACTCTTTAATTTTCCGGGATGAAAAGTATCTAAGATGTTGCCCGGGGATATAAGGTACCACCATGCAAAATTTAATTTAAATAGGTCCAATAGATCCGGAGATTAGCCCGTATAAAGAGAAAAACAGATAAACAGCTCGCTCGGGTTCGTCCATACATACGAATATGTTGTATTATCTCTTTAACCATTTGTCCAAATTATCTGCAGTAAAAGGGAAAAGTCTTTTATTTTAAACATTTTAAACGATAAATTTACTTATTTTGATAAGAATTCATAATTGTTGATAATATGACCAATAAACATGACCTACCGATTTAAATGATTTTTTTTAATTTAAAAAACTACTTTTTGTGACTTAAATATAAAAGTTAGACATATGCTGTCGCTGACTTTTTTGTAGGCATTTTTAAGCTCTACAACTTTTCTTTAAAACATAATCATATATCTCTCATCGTTAAGGCAGCGTTCGTACCCGGGGGAGAAGCCAACTCCTACCGGGCGCGTCCCCAGGTGGCGGATAGGGGAATGCCACCCGCTTAGGGCGGCGGGTGGTACCGGAGAAATCCGGCGCGGACCAAATGGCTTGGATGGGGCCGCTCGTCTAGGCCTCGAGCCGAAGACGTTGCGGCCACCGGTGGTGGGACCGCTTGGTCCCACAACCGGATGATGGGTGCCGGTTGCGGGACTGTGGTCGCAGGCCCGCATCCGGCGGAGGGGTAGGCCGCGGCGGGAGAGGAGTGCCGGTATTTCGGTGCGCCGTTCTCCCTACCTTCCGCGGCCTAGACGGGGCCGCCACCGTTTGATGGCGGACGCGGTGGGGCTGCAGGGGAAGAGGAGTGTCGGTGTTTCGTTGCCGCTCTCCCTGTCCTCTGCAGCCGATTGGAGGTGGCCCACTTCGGTGGGCGGAGGTTCGGTTTTATGGGGCTGCTCCGGGTACCTCTCTGGTGTAGCAGAGTTGACTGTGGAGCAGCCCCATCGGTGTGGTGGTCAGCCGTTGGGCAGACCTGCCGCCGGGGCGCCGTAGTAGTTATGCGCAAGCGATCCTGCGGCGTCCCATTAAGGCGGAGGGGAGGGGAATGTCGGGTTTTAGTGGGTAGTACCGGCTCTTCTGGCCGGTGAGCCCCACATCACCACCTGGGGGATCAGGTGGTATGCGTAAATGCATTTCCCGACATAAAAAAAAAAAAAAAAAAAAAAAGCGTTCGTAAGAAACGTTTTCGTTCGGCCGTTTTTTCTCCGACTTACTTTGCAAATCCGACTACCACGAAAAAGCATTTTTATTTTTCGGGTTAATATATAGCCTATGACACTCAGAAAGAACGTGGCTTTCTATTGGTAAAAGAATTTTGAAAACCGGTTCAGTAGATCCAGAGATTACCCCCTACAACGTCACAAACTCACAAACTCACAAGATCACAAACTTTACCTCTTTATAATATTATAATATATTAGTATAGATTAACTATTGTAGGATGACATCTTGTCTAAGGCATAAGCCACCTAATTAAAGCCTATACATATATTTAGTATTCATAATATTAAATTATAAACTATACAGTCAATAACTTTATACTCGGTTAGCAATAGTCGTTCGTAAATATGGATCTTTTAAAACGTGCATTTAAAATGTATAGGATAAGTACAATAATTGGTTATCCCAGCGCCACAGACACGGGACAATGGTCGCCGCGGGCGCGGGCAGAGGTCGGCGCTAAAAGCATTGATACATCGCTGTGCGCTGACACGGAGCGCTTCATCTCGCTAATGACCTATGACTTTAGCATCGAACATATTTATTATCGTACTAGCGGCTCACCCTCGCTTCGCTCGGGTTCGCCTCTAGAAAAACACTAATAGAAATCTATTAGTTCCCACGGGAACCGTTCATTTTCCCCGGATGAAAAGTAATCTATTGTTTGACCGGCAATATAAGGTATCAGAATGTTAAATTTTACTAAATTAGGTGCATAAGTTGTATAAGTTATAATAGTTTTTTAACTATCCCACGGGAACCATTCAATTTTCCGGGATAAAAAGTATCTAAGACGTTGTCCGGGGATATAAGGTACCACCATGCAAAATTTCATTTAAATCGGTCCAATAGATTCGGAGATTAGCCCGTACAAACAGACAAACAGACAATCAAAAAAATTGAAAAAAATCTGGATTTGTTCTATTTAATAATGTCAAACATTCGCGTGAATCTAAGAAAGTATTATTGTTCTATTTGTCTTCTTACATCCCCCTGACTCGCGATGGCTTATTATTTGCGTATTTCATGTATAACTTTGGTGTTTCTATACCGATTTCTATGATTATTTTTTATGGAATAGTTTATAATGTTAACTTTTTTAAACAGGGATGACTGAGAGTGTTATAAACGTAAGAGTAGACAAATATAAATCAGAAAGCTTCGAACTGCTAAGCTATCGGGAGTTACACGTGTTATTGTGAGTCAACCATAAAAGATAGACATATGCTGTCGTGGGATATTTTTTATATAATTTTAAGGAGAACATTTCCGTCATACATGATTTCTGTGTAGCTTTAACCATTAAGGTTGCACACGTGACGGAAGCTTAAAAAATGGAGTAACTTCTCCCGTTTTCCCAACATTTCCCTTCACTGCTCTGCTCCTATTGATTGTAGCGTGATGAAAAGTATACCTTAACCAGCTCAGGAGTATGAAAAATAATTGTACCAAGTTTCGTTAAAATCCGTCGAGTAG